TATGTAATTTTATAGTTTCTAGAATCTTAATAAAGTACTAGCGTAACTGCCAAAGGTTAAAAAAAAAAAAAAAAAAAAAAAAAAATAATAATTATTTGTTTTATAATAATATAATATATAATTAAAAATATAATAAAAATGATAACTATTATAAGCATTAACCTTAATATAAAAAAAATTTTAATTTTTTTTTAATTTTATAACTAATTTTATATTTAAATAAATAAAAAAATTTTTTCTAAGATGACCTCTTAGATTTTTTAACTTTTTTATTTATTTATTTATTTATTTATTAAGATTGATATTATCAATAACTACTATTTTTATTTGTGTTTTTAGTTAATGCATTACATGTGACTTGCACAAGATAAATATAAAACTAATTACATATGTAACTTTTGGTTACTTATTTTAAGTAATCCACCCAAGAGTTTTACACTAGCTGCCATATCTATAACCTACTAAGAAAAAGAAATCCAATATAACAAATAAAATAAAAAAAGATGCTTGTATAAGAAAAAAGATAAAAAAAAAAAAGAAAAAATAAATAAGTAAAGAAAAAAAAAAAAATAGAAAAAAAATAAATCAAATAAAGAAAAAAGCATGAAAAACAATTAATATACTTATTACTGAAGAAGGAAGACTTTTCTGGTATAGCTTTAAGTAGTTAAACAAATAAACTATCTCTAACTAAAATAGTGTAACAGGTTACACTTAGATATCATAGAGATGACCAAGTTATGCTAAACTTAAACATTGAGAAATTCTATGTAATTGTATGTATATAGTTTCAAGAATTTTAATAAAGTACTAACGTAACTGCTTAAAGTTAAAAAAAAAATATCAAAATAAGTAATTTGACAATCCTGACAATCACCAGTCTATAACTAAGAAAACAAAACCTAAAGATTTCAAGACAAATAGATTGCTTAGGCAGGTCTTATTTGAACCAATAATATTCAAATAAGTTTTTATTAGCTTATTAGCTTAAGCATAAGCTTGTAGTTACGTATACAGAAATTGTAATAGTTTTCAAATGCCTTAATGAATAAAAGCAAAACTACCGAATTAAAAAAAAAAGATCATGTATTTTAGTCGTTTATTTAAGGATTCTTGAACTATAATATTAAACACCTAATTATATATATAGTACGTTTTAGCAAATTTGTAAAAAATACTGTAGATTTATTATAAAAAGGTCAATTAATTAGCCAGTTTTAGAGATAGTACACTGGATCCGAGCTAAAATTGATAATAAAATTTAACTTCAGAAGTTTGGTATTACTTATTTAGTATTATTAATAAAATCTTAGTACAAAGACCCACTTGTAATAAATATACGTATAATAATTGAACGCAGTCATTGTTTATAAACGAATAAATGACCTGGCTTCGTATGCACATTTACGCTTACACATCTTTAATATTAATAATTAAAATCAGATGTTAATAACCTTACGTGACCCTATCAGTACATACGTAACACATATATTTCAGAAGTCTTGGTTCGAATTTAAAACGTTAGATGTATTCGATTTCCAGAATTTCCGGTTGATGATCACAAATCAAAGGTCACACGCTTTATCGTATTGTCTTTTGGCCAGAGTGAAAATGTCCCACTTTTTGTACTTTGAAAAAGTAGAGGCTTGTTTCTAGGTTATGATAAAAAGTCCAGAATTGGTATAAGTGGCAGGTGCTCCTTTGAGTTTCTACTAATTTTGAGTATGATTTCCTGTCTTGTGATAAATGTGATGACCGACATTTTTCCTTTCCGCTGGCTCCGATTTACACTTTGTTGTCTATATTGTCTAAATAAATTATAATTAATATTTTTATAATAAAAAAGCTTTTGAGAATGACCATACTAGGAAATTTTATGTTTGGCTCTTTTTACTCAATCAATACATGTCCGCCAATATTATAATTTCTAATATTAATCAAAAAAATTTTTTCTACTTATTTATTACTCTTATCTTTTTTCCTTTACTTTTTTTTATAAAAAAAAACAAAAAAATTATAGTTTACTTTTCTGTCGTTTACGACTACTTTAGAAAAGAAAAAAAAAAACAATTATGAACAATGGCAACTCCAACGATGCACGCCTAGAGCAGTCATTCGGTATGTATTTCTTTCCTTTCGTCTTAGATTGCAAGTTCATGAGGTCGTTTGTAAACACACCGCAGTTTCTTTAGAAATACAACATTGCCATCTGATTTATTATGTCTTTGATTCTCTTTTTATTCGGATCTCTTTACCTTCTTGTCCTTTACTGTAGTTATCACTTAAATTTTAACTTTACGGAATTTTGTCATATCTAAAATTCTTTTTCCGCAATTTTTAAAATGTAGCTCATTTAGGCATCAAGGACAATCAAAGTTCGGGGAAACCTACCGCTGGTCGTTACGTTCCTCCCCATTTGAGAGGTCAACCTATTAGAAATAATAATAGCGAAAACCCATCTCAACATCAACAGCAACTACAACCACCACCAACAACACCACCACCTCCTCCTCCACCACCACCAAGAAATAATGATCATTATAATAATGAGTCTGATGAATTAGTCCCACCTCTCCAATCACGTCGTCCAAATGGGTGGCATCAAAGGAACGAAAGGTTTATGATCTTTTATTTTTTTTTTAATCTGGATCATAAAGATTAGTTTCTATCGCCGGAAATTTTTAAATTTCTTAGATAACAGTCCTTATCTTAGTACCATATTTCTAATCGCTTCTTCAATGTATATATATATATATATTTTGAAAACTCATTATCATATTTTATTCCAAAAAATGGACATTATAAGGGCTATCGATTCAATAATAATCAAGATTGTTTAATAACCACTTGATCTTTAATAATCAACCTTTTCTCATTAATATTAGTGCGGCTCCCGCGGTAAATTGGGACAGTCGTCGTACATCATTTCCTCGTCCAGATGCATGGGGAGGAGGTAGTCGTAGTGAAATGGGATATTCCACGTCTCAACGTGGTGGATGGAGTGATCGTGCATCATCTCAAGGTGACCGCTGGAATGCTGGCTATCGTGGTAACAACCGACATAATTCGGGTTCCGGTTATGGTGGTCGTGGCGGTCCTGTTACTGAAGATACGTTTGATGGTTACGGTTCTTGGCGTGATGGTGTTCACGTTGTTCCTCAAAGAAATCAACGCATGGAACGTGATTTATTTGGCTCTCCTGAGGATCCTGATCGTCAACACACTGGTATCAATTTCGAAAAATATGATGATATCCCTGTTGAAGCTAGTGGAAACAACGTTCCAGAATGTGTCTCGAATGTATGCGTACATTATATAGTATTTGAGAAAATAAATTTTTTTTTTTGCATTAATAATTAATTAGTTTTTTTATTTTTTATTTGTACATTTGATCTATATATTGTATAGTTCACGAATCCTCCTTTAGATGAACATCTTCTCTCTAATATTGAATTGGCTCGTTACTCTGTTCCCACACCAGTTCAAAAATATTCAATACCGATCGTCTCGACTGGTCGTGATCTTATGGCTTGCGCACAAACGGGTTCTGGTAAAACTGGTGGTTTTTTATTCCCCATTTTGTCGGAGCTTTTTAAACATGGCCCACCTGAACAAACTGGTTCCCGTAACATGTATCGTAGTCGCAAAGCTTATCCAGTTGCATTGGTCCTTGCACCGACACGTGAATTAGCTATGCAAATTTATGATGAAGCACGAAAATTTGCCTATCGTTCTTGGGTAAGACCGTGTGTTGTTTATGGTGGCGCTGACATTTCTTCACAATTGAGACAAATTGACCGTGGATGTGACCTTTTGACCGCTACACCTGGACGACTTGTGGATTTGATTGAACGTGGTCGCGTAAGTTTATCTCAAATACGATATTTAGTTCTTGATGAAGCTGACCGTATGTTAGATATGGGATTTGAACCTCAAATTCGTCGTATAGTAGAAAATGAAGGTAACGCGTTTATTTGGTTACTGAAATTTTTAAATTCTCATTTATTTATTATTTTAAATTCTGTTGTTGTAGATATGCCTGGTGTCAATGATCGACAAACGCTTATGTTTAGCGCCACTTTTCCTCGAGACATTCAAGTTCTTGCTCGTGATTTTTTGAAGGACTATGTTTTCTTAAGTGTTGGGCGTGTCGGTAGTACAAGTGAGAACATCACCCAAAAGATTGAATATGTTGAAGATGATGATAAACGATCGGTGTTATTAGATATCCTACATGCTCAACCAGATTCTGATCATGGACTTACATTAATCTTTGTTGAAACAAAACGCATGGCTGATATGTTGTCAGAATTTCTTGTTCAATCAGGTTTTCCTGCTACATCAATTCATGGTGATCGATCACAGCGTGAACGTGAACGCGCTTTAGAATCTTTTCGTACAGGTCGAACACCTATCATGGTGGCGACTGCTGTGGCCGCCCGTGGGTTAGACATTGTTAATGTCACTCATGTCATCAATTATGATTTACCTACAGATATTGATGACTATGTACACCGAATTGGTCGTACTGGACGTGCTGGTAATGTTGGAATATCAACGGCATTCTTCAATCGTGGTAATAAAGGAATTGTTAGAGAATTGATTGAACTGTTAAGAGAGGCCAACCAAGAAATTCCTCCCTGGTTGGAAACTATTGCAAGAGAGACTTCATCTAATTATGGTTCTCGTAGCGGTAATAGTGGTCGTGGTCGAGGCCGCGGTCAAAATCGTGATTATCGTAAATTTGGTAGTAATAGTGAAAGAGGCAGCTATGGAAGTGGTGGCAATGAGTAAGTAATATTTCTTTTTTAATAATTTTATTACTAATTGACTTAATTAGTAACTGTTCTTTTTTCTTTTTGCATTTATTTAGTTATTATTATGGTGGTGGAAATTACGGGGGTGGTTATGGTGGTGGAAATTATGGTACATCAAATGGATATAGTAACAAGCAAAGTTGGTGGTAGTTTGATACACAGTGTTTGTTGACTGGAAGCTGGAACTCCATTGGAAATCCAGATTCTCCGGTTTTCCAGTGAAAAATTTTCACTGGAACAAATGTATGTTAGCCAATAAAAATGCAAAAATTATGTACATGTGTATCTGTATCTTGGGCACCTTGGGTAAATTTCCAAGTTTGGTATTTACCAAATATAGCAACATTGTCAAAATCTGTATTATAATCCAAATATTTTCTAGAATAATTTACAAGTATTTAATTGGTTAACTTTATTTTGAAAAATTTTTCAAAATTAATATTTCATCTAATAATTAAAATAAATAAATATATTTTTTTGATGTTTGATATGATTTTTTAAATTAATTTTTTAAAATTAGGCCGTGCAAAATCAATTAATTGGTTTCCATAACCCGGCCGGACCAAATTTTGAAAAAAAATTTTATATGTTTTGCAGTTGTTTTTATAAATTCCGGAAAATCAGACAAAAATTGACCGATGCTGATTCGTTAAGTTTATCGAATCGGCAAATATTCGGGCGGTCAATTTTTGCCTGATTTTCCAGAATTTATGAAAACAGTGTAATAGCCGGGTGTCTTTAAAAATTTTTTTATAAAAGGAAAAGCCGGCCGGCTGGGTATATTTAAAATTTCATGTTATAAAAATCAAATATTAAATTTATATGGCCTCATAAAAATTTTTTTTCTAGATTTTAAAATAATCATTAATGCTATTATGTTACTATATATACGTGTTATTTACAGGTTCACGAAAATCAAGAACATAATCCCGATAAAGTTAGCAGGCATTAGCATGGTTTATAATAACTTAAAGCTGTATGCGATAACGTGAAGGTTTCTTTTCAATTATGAATAAACCGCCAATGAACCTTTTTGTCTACGTCACTTCCATACATTATTTCCGGAAACCATTTTCCTAAATCAGCCAGAATGATAGCTAATGCCGCTAACTTTATCGGGATTACATTTCGGGAAAGTGATTTTCGGGACTTGAGTTACAATGACTTACTCTTTGCAATTTTTAATTTGATATAATCCGATTCGTTAACGATTTATTACGAATGTCGTCAGTTAAACCAGTAAATGATCAGTTCCAGGATTTAATTTTGCGGTATTAATATGATCACATAAAATTTAAAGGATCGACAACAAATCAAGCAATTCGAACTTTGAAGTTTTGACATTGCAAAGAATCTAATGATAAAAACTCATTCGAATTCAATCATTGGATTTCGAGATAACTGAATGGCATAGTAAGGACATTGTGAGTATTGTGACGAATGGATATAAATTATGAAATCTCAAGATTCATTGATCTGATTCGAGCAATGTTTAGATCATTATATATTTCACTCACTAAGAATAGATCCTTCTTCGAAATATATTTTTATTTTATAAATTACAAGAAAATTTAGATATATAAATTACAATAAGAAAATTTAGAAGGTACATCGTTGGTTATATATCCTGTTGACTATATCGGTTATAAGTCTTTATAATTTTAATTCAAAGTTACTTGGTAAGAATTTTATTGTTAGCTCGGCTCGGTTTGATCCTAATGGCTAACAGCCATACTTCCGGAAATTTTCGGTAAACTTTCCGCTGTTCATTCATTTTCCTTTTCGGAATTTACCGGAACCAACTATATACCAAATCATATGGGCAGCCGTCAATAGAAATAAGGCAGATTGACATTTGAAAAAAAATTTTTACCTTAACTTTCATACCCCATATCTCGATGGATTTTGATACTATCATGATGATTAATAGTCAAAAAGAAAGCTTACTATCTAAGCTTTCTTTTGAATATTTAATCATCAAGATAGTTAAGGTAATAATTTTTTTTCAAATGTCTATCTGCCTTGTTTCTATCGACGGCTGCCCATAATATGATCTTTAGCCGTATTAGCCAGCCGATCATATTACATTGGCTGGCTAAGCCGGCTTAGCCGCGGCTACTGTAGCCGGCTTATATCACAAACTTTTGTTTTCTAAGTAAAAAATTGTGTGTAAAATTAAATCTAAGAAAATCGCGTTATAGTTAGGGTTATAGTTTTAAAAATATGGCGACTATTAGTAGAATTTCACGAGAAACATTTTAATTAGGCCGCAGAATATTGTTCGGTTTCCTAATAAAATTTAGAGCTATTCCTGTTTTTTTGTCAAAAAGTGAGTTACACCTGATCTTGTCAAAATTACAGGGGGTGAACAATTTTTGTTACGTACAATCAGTGTTATGAATTCAAAAAATTGTTATTGGCGCAAACCAAAAAAAAATGTATAAAAAACATTTTTATATGTGCTCTATATATACGGAGAACCAATCCAATTTACAACGCCCCTTGCTCTCCCACAGAAAATTGTTCCCCCTGTAATTTTGACAAAATCAGGTGTAACGTAAAAATTGAAACGGACACCCTTTTTTACAAAAAAACAGGAATAACTCTAAATTTTTATTATCTGCGGCCTAATTAAAAATGTTTCTCGTGAAATTCTACTAATAGTCATATTTTTTTTTTTTTAACTATGACCCTAACTATAACGCATTTTCTTAGATTTAATTTTACACAATTTTTTTACTTAGAAAACAAGTTTGTTTTGACTATCATGTTACACCTGATCTTAAATTTTGAATGGCCAAAATTATGGTAAATATAGTAATTCTATATAACGAACTTTTTTTTTGGCCCCGTTTAACCGTTTAAAAATTGCTCTATAATTCCGGGCAGAATTATGTTGGTCGTGGCCGGATTGTTTTAATCCGGCCAAATTAAACGATTAGAAAAATTTTAGGCGGTTCCAATCCCTATTTTATTTACTCAAATTTTGCGCAATATATACGAATAATAAGATTTTTTGTTAAAATGTCTTTTCGCAGCAAATTAACTTTTTGCGACAAAACATATAACGAAAGAATTTATTAATAAAAAATTATTTATGGTGCGACAAAAGTTGAGGCGAAGTAAAAGATGGCATTTTGAACAACTTTACTTAGTGAATTAAGTTTAATTTACGATTCTTGAATATACATTAGTATATATAATAATAACGATAATGATGAATATTAATGTTAATAACGATAATGATGAATATTAATGTTAATAACGATAATGATGAATATTAATGTTAATAACGATAATGATGAATATTAATGTTAATAATCGTTTGTCAAAATATCCGCAGGGAAGTTGGAGTTTTTTTCTTTAAATATTGTGGAGCGGATTCAAACTTAGTTCAAAAAAAAGAACATTAAAATTTTGAAAGACTTTTATAAGTAAAGATGTGTTAATTTCGTTAAATTATCCGCATTTACCTTAATATAAAAAAAACTGGGATAAAATTCTGGATTTATATCAAGATTTTTGCCGTTGCCAGGAATCGAACCTGGGCTAGCGCGGCCACAACGCGATGTACTGCCACTATACGACAACGGCCTTACTTATTACTGGTGTAAGGTTTATAAATCATTATATTAAAGTAATAATTATGGTTGTACAAATGCAAAGTAATAAAACATTGCGAATAAAAATTCAAACCAAATCATATGTTATCGTTAAATAAAAAAAGGTTTATATAATTTAGCGCATGTGCATTGTAACGCACCATGATCAACCAATTAGATCGTAAGATCAGGTGTAACGTTACACGATCAGAAAATTCTGCATATGCGACTATCTTTCGGGTTCTAACAAAAAAAATTACTTTCGGATTTTACTATAGGTTCATCTTTTGTTACCACTCTAACCTTACTTATCACTAACCCTAATCACATAAAAAAATCGTTGCTTTGATTTCACGTTATACCTGATCTTATAGGGTGCGTCACAACGCACCTGCAAAAATGATTAGATCCTAAAAAAAATCCACTTAATATACATTTTTAGCGTGTTATTGAACGAAACTTTACGCATCGATAAATTTAACATATCATTCTAGAGGAAGAAACAATAAAAGCGAAGAATCCATCGATAAATATGTTGATAGTGCCGATTTAGAACCCGAAAATATTAAAGCTACGATAAAGAAAGCTTTTTATTGATATAAATATAGTTGTATTCTGGTTGAAATAATCCATATTTACTATATTTAAAATCTAAACTAAGATTTTGCTAAAGTGTTGTTATGATTAGAAAATGCTCACTCAACCCATGAAATTTAAGGATATTAAATTGCGAATCCAGTCGGTCAGATTCTAGGATTAAAAGAACAGTCTTGGAACTCCGTCATCGATCCTTTCAAGGATTCGGTTGAGACGGATTTACTTATTTGTGCGAGTGATACAATCCCAAAAAAGAAATTCAACGAGTTTGTGAAATTAAAAATTTAGGGTTAGGACGTTAAAGTTAGGGACAACGAAAATAAATGATTATTCTGCATATAAAACTTCATTCCAGTCATTTTTAATTAGTGCTTCATGACGGGTTTAAACGTTCTTTTTCTTGTATTTTCGCTTTTGGGGGGGTTTCCTGTGTTTCTTCGCTTTGCGCACGTGTCGGGCTGATCCGGAATAATCACTTTTACGTTCTCCGATTGGTTAATTTTCCTTTTTGGGAAACCGTTAAAGCCAGGTACCAGTTAGAATTACTGTTAGGGTTAGCTGATTATATAGATATCAAGAATGCAATTTATGCAGAATTTGTATTTTCAAGCTTATTCGTATTTAATAAAATTACAAGATCTTGTGTAACGAACCAAGTGTGAAAAATAAAATTGTAAAAAAACATAAATAACACAAAAATTTATTATAATAACTAACTTCTGATTTTTAAATAAAAGGTTTCAGAATAATATTTTATTATTTTTTTTATTTTTTTCTCTCTTTGACAATCTTGCTAAGAGCTTTCTTTGTGTCTTTTACACTTCTTTCAAATTAATGTTCTTAATGTTTAAGGGTCATTGAACCTCAACCTCCTTTGGTCTATATTTTTAAACTTTTTAGAAGTGATTGTTGCACTAACTTCTGCTGAGATCAGAAGGTTTCATCAGGCTC